TTTCTTCAACCTTCACATTCTTCTCATCTCTCTTCAGCCCCGTTTCACGCTAACCTGAAGGCACGCTAACGCAGAACGTGTGTGAGTAGTAGTGAGAACTGTAGAGGGTGTTTATATTAAAGGCAGTGGTCAGGCAAAATGGACGCCTCTCAGATTTTGGCGGAGTCAGGTAGTAGGCCCCCAAGTGCACCGTAGCCCAAACCCCACCTGCGCTAAGTCCTGAAGAAAGCGCTTTCAGACTTCACCAATAATCACTCAGTGCAAATGGGGGGGGGGCTGGTGGAGTTTTCAAAGCGCATTTTTCAAGACTTAGCGCATGATCTGGCAGCTGGGGTTAAGCTACGATTACGCTCAACCCAATGTAGTAAGATAATTACGTTTTCGTTGTATCGCTATCTCTAAAATTCTTTCATAGGTCGAAAAACCAATAACATCAACAATTTCCTATCATACGTCATTCAACTTGGCTTTCAATTCCAAACCGGATGACACAAATGGTCCTATTAGGTAGTTCGCACGTTTTTTTTACGTATTTCTCTGGGATTATATGCATATGATTTTAGTTGCTATTATATTGGCATCGTACCATTGTTGAGAAACGTCTCGTTAGAGACGCTTCCACCTCCACAAGAAATTGTTATGGATACGGTATCAAAGGTGGGTTTTCTAGGTTTTCTCGATTTTTTCTTTCCGTGCCATTTTTTGGATGTATCAATTCGGAGTTCCATGCCATAAATTTCTTCTTGGATTTTTTTTGCATTTTTTTACAATATAGATGTTATCAGGCATTTAACAATAATCTCCTCCCTCTTTCCGCCGAGAAAAAACGATTTTTCGCCTACATCGCTGAAAGCTACACCTATCACCAACACTATCCTGCAGACACGGTCATCGGTGATGGGAAAGGAGTTGTTGGCATGAAACCATGCAGCGTTTTGTAAGTTCTAAAATAACTTCATTTTTTTGTTGAAAAGTTTACCTTTAAAGTTTATCACTCTGCAGGTACCTCAGCCGATACAAAGCGGAAGATGTCATTCTTCGATCTGGACTGAAGTGCACTGGTTTTCTGATCGTAAGAGTGGACAAAGATGACAATGAAGAAACGCAGACTGGAGCTCATTATAGTCGAATGTGAGAATCAGCATTTCTGTTCAAAAAATTGCATCTACGTTGTTTTTTATTGAGATTGGATCCCCTGAGGCCGAGATCTTATCGGCAACTTCATCTCAGTGGACCTGCATACGGCTTCAGTGGATACTTCAAACCGGTGTTTCTGGAGCCCGAGGATGGTAAGATAGTTTCGCGTGCTGATTTATTCTTTGCTCATTTTTGCATTCTTCCCTGAATTAATCAAGTTAGATTTGTCAAACAGATCGATACATATTCCGTTTATGTCAGTTTCAGAAGGAAGTGTGGTTGGCACTTTCTTCACTGTTTTGGTTCCACTCCTCGTCTTCCTAACCATGGCATCGGTATTGGCTCTGTTCGTGCTGCACAAGTTAGTCATCTTCTTTTGTTGCTTTTTCCATTTGAGGTTCTTCATATTCGAAGCTATTAAGGGCAGTGGACAGGCAGAATGGAACCCTGTCGGATTTTGGTGGAGTAAAGAAAGTAGACCCCCAAGTACACCGCAA